TCCCGACAGGGTCGGCCACGCGCAGAGGGCCTCCTTTTTTTGGTTTGCCCCGGCATTTGCGAGCTGGCCGAGCGATTCTGCCGGTAAGGATTTCTGCGATACCATTATCGGGGCTCCCAAACGGGGTGGTGACCACACCGTGTGGTGAGTCGGTGGGGATTCGGGGTCACCGCACGGTTTTGGGCTTGGGTCGTTCTCCGAGGATGTCTCGGGCGACTGGAGCCTCCAGGGTCCCAAAACCGTGTGGTGACGGACCGTGCGGTGAGGTCTTTGCGGATTTCGAGGTCACCGCCGGGTCTGTCAGTCACCACACGGTTTTGGGACACCCAAACTTATGATGCTCCAACCTACTTTAGCCTTGATCATCAGAAAGAATTTCGAGCGCAAAAAAAAAGTACCGAAATTCAAGGGTTTTCACGTCTCGGGCCCTGGGAGACACTCGCCCGACACTGTTTCGACACTGTTTCGACACTCTTCTGACACTTTTCCGGGTGCTCGAAATTATTTCTGGGATGCGGTCCTTAAGTAGGATGGGAACAACATAGATATTCATATATACATGTATATACACATATATATACAAATTTGAATATATATATATATATATATATATATATATATATATATATATATGTATGCATGAATATGTATGTGTACATATGTATGTATACATATATATATATATATATATACAAGACTGCAGTGGCGCTTCGCGCCATGCACCTTGGTCCTTGAAGTTTGGCATGCAGGCGGAATGGCAGGAAGGTCAAGCCGACAATTTAGCGCTAACTCCTGGTTGCCTTTTCCGGCATCGCCGCTATCATGATGTTATTCGATATGATTCCTCCATGCTTATTGTTCCTTATGTTCGCCATACCCTGCGCATTCTCCCCATCCTCCTCAGCTCTTTTTTGCGGAGGCTCCTCCTTGGAGAGTCTCTAGAGGCCTCACAAAAGTTGTTCCGGGCTTTCTTAAGGCCTTTTGGAGGCCTCCTGGGCGTATTCCGGGGGCCTCCGGGGGCTTCCTCGGGCCACCCTGCCTCCAACCGCCGTCTCCCTGAACGACCGAACCACGATTTGGAATTATTCGGAGGGTGTCTTTGGGCCATCTTGGGCCGCCATGCGGCTCTCTGAGGGCCAACTTGGACCCGTGTTGTGCCGTTTTGGGACTCTCTTGGACTGCCTGGAAGCCCTTTCGGATGGTTGTGGGGCGATTTGGGAGCCTCCCAGGCGGCTTCGGACGCCCAGAAGACCGCCGTCTTAGAGCGTCGGGAAGCCGAAAAGAGAAGAACCCAAAAATTCACCAAAAACCCATAGAAAATCAATGGTGTTTACCTCGGGGGGCCTTCTTGGGAGTGCTCTTGGAGGCCTCTTTGGGGCCGCCCTGGAGGCCTCTTGGGCCATCTTGAGGTCACGTCGGTCACTCTTGGAGCGCTCTTGTGCTGTCTTGAGGGTCTCTGGGACGTCTCCGATGACCCCCCTGATCGCCTTAAGTGTGCTGGGAAGGCTTGGCAAAACGCCTTGCGAGGCCCGGTGGCCGCTTCGAGGCCCGTCCGGAGGGCCCCAGAAGCCCCAGGTCCCGGGAGTCCGATTTTTGGGGGGGGGGGGGGGGCGAGGGTAATGGGTTTTCCCCCCGCCCGGGCTTACAAAAATATAGGAAGAGGAATATATATATATATATATATATACACTCATTTTTAGTGTTCTGTCGCCCGAGTCGTCCCGCGCCTTACTAGTCACGTATTGCTCGTATCACTCGTCCCATCACTTCTTATTTGTCACATATTATTCGTAACACTCGTAGAAACAAAATAATATTATTGAGCTTTTTTCTTTTTCTTACGAGTGATACGAGTAATATGTGAAAAAAATCAAGAGTGCTGGGACGAGTGATACGAGTAATACGTGAAAAATGGGGTGGGATGCGCGAGGCGCCTCCGGGGGGTCCCGGGGCCGTTGGGGAGGCGCTAGACATGACAACATGCAGCCGCTTTGGCCGTTCCTTGCTTGGCGCCCGGACGTCGTCGTCGTTGTCAGTCGGCCGCCGCCGTGGTTCGTCGTAGAAGTCGAAAAGCAAAGTGTCAAATTCGACTCGCCCCTGTCTGACACAGTCCGGGGTAAGTCCACGGTTGACGGTTTGATTTTCGCAGTGATTGAAACGGCTCCCCCCCAGCCCTCCCCTCGAACATTTTCCCTTGTATCTTTTCCTGCACTTTTGCGCCCCAATCAGTTCGAGGGTGGCCACGTGCCAGGCAACATACCCACAGGCCTCGGAACAAATTAGCGAATACTCATGCCACATTCATCTGTCAGCGCCTCCCCCTCCCCCCAATGTTCAAAGTTGGCGGTGGGTCCGATGAGATGCACTTCGACCGCAGTCTCCCCCGCGCGTGAAACATTGAGTTTGTGGGGGAGGGGGAGTGTTCAGTAATTGTTTCCCTCTACCGTAGGGGGAGGGGGGTAGGCTCCTGGAAGCATCCTGGCTTCTCAGAAGGCTTGGGCCTGATCTTTAGATGTCGGGCCGGCGCCTTTTCAGAAGCCGGCTCCTTTTAACAAGCTCCCCCCCTCCACCCATACCCCCTGCGCGCGCGCCGCAATTCACAACCGCCTCCCGACAGAGGCACACGACGGGGCCCAGTTCGATTCGATCGATCCGGTGCGATATTTACTCCGCCCGGCTCGATCCGATTCGATGACATTCGGGCGATCCGATGCGGCCCGATGTTTGCACTGCTCAGCTGCATATTCCTGGCACGGCCGGCCCGAGTCGATCTCGACTCCGCGCCGATGCAGGCCGATCCGATGCAAGGACCCGATCCGATGTAGCGATTCGATGCCGACGGCTCTTGCTATGGCCTCCTCCCGCTACGTCGCCCTGCGAGTCTCCCCGCACACCCTCTCTGGAGGGTTCCGAAGGAGGTTTTGGGGGAGAGGGTTTTCCAGGAGGGGTCCCCCAGGGGAGCTTCGCACCCCCTGTCTTGACGAGGTTCCGAGGCCCCTGGGGGGCGCTCTCTGGAAAACCCCATCCCCAAAAACCTTTTTGGGGAACCCATCCCCAAAAACCTTTTTTGGGAACCCCATCCCCAAAAACCTTTTTTGGTGAACCCCTAAAAACCTTCTTTTGGAACCCTCCTGTCTCTCGGTGACCGCGAGCGCGGCGCAGCCGGCAGCAGCAGGAGCCGGCACCGCGCGCCCCCGCCAGGTGCTGCGACCCGAGAGCGCGTGGCCCCCCTCCTCCTGCTCCTCCTCCTGCTCCTCCTGCTCCTGCTCCTCCTCCTGCTCCTCCTGCTCCTCCTCCTCCTCCTGCTCCTCCTCCTCCTCCTCCTCCTCCTCCTCCTCCTCCTCCTCCTCCAGCTCCCGACGCGCGAAGAGCACGCGCTCCCCATGGGAGCTGAGCGGGTCCTGAGGTTTTTCGGCGTTTTCGGGCCCCGGCGGGGTGCTCCACGGGACTGGGGGCCGTCCGAGAACGACTCGGGAGGAAGAGCTGGTCTTGGGGGGAGGCCCGGGGGTCCAGGACCCGCTTCCTTCAGAAACCAACAACATGGAGCCGAGGTCCTGCGGTTTTATCCCATGCTGACGCATTCAAAGCGCAGGCCTGCTTGGAGCACTCCAGTTTCCTCCAAGTAGAGTCCTGAACACCGCACCACACAATCAGGACCCGCTAGGCCAAGGATGCACGCTCTCTGTCCAGATGCGTGCCCTCTGTTGCCTGAAGCATGGCCTTCGCCGACATGTTGGCGGTGTCACCAGCCGTCGTGTCAAGTGATCGAGTAGGGGATCGACTACCGAATTGATTTGCCCCAGACTTGATTTTTCGGGAGAAACACACACACACACACACACACGCACACACACAATGCCTAGAATACTCTTAAGATATACGGAGGTTTCTATGTCTTCATAGATTCGACAGGGAAATCAAGTTTGGGGTAAATCAATTCGGTAGTCGATCCCCTATTCGAAGGGTGAGCGCGCTTCCGGGGCTCGTAGAGGGGAGGGGGTAGCCCAAGGTGGGACTAGGGAGCGGACCCAGCTGGGGGCTTATGCTTTCTTGTCCAGGGGCCGCCCGGAGCGAGGTTTTTATAATTCGTCCCCCGACCTTGACCCGCATTTTTTGCGACCTCCCTCGCTCTCCCCGTGAACCGACGCACGACGATCTGCATCCTGCCCTGCGGGTCGGCGTCGGCATCTCGACCGCGACCTTTGCGAGAGCATGCGTGCCGCAGGAGGTGCACGGCATTTGTTGCTGCGCCAGTTCTTCCCACATGGTGCGGTCCTTCATCCTCCTCCTCCCCCACCTCCTCCTCCTCCTCCTCCTCCTCCTCCTCATCATCATCATCATCATCATCATCATCATCCTCACCATCATCATCATCATCATCATCATCATCATCATCATCATCATCATCATCATCATCATCAGCATCAGCATCAGCATCATCATCATCATCATCATCATCATCATCATCATCATCATCATCATCATCATCATCATCATCATCATCATCATCATCATCATCATCCGCCTCCTCCTCTTCCTCCTCCTCCTCCTTCTGCTCCTGCTCCCCCCCTCCCCTCAAAGATCGGCCCTGGACCTTCCCAGGGGTGCCTTTTGACCAGAGCTTCAAGCGGAGTCCATCCGTGGCGACCAGAACCCCACTGGCGGCCCAGAGAAACACGGCAACAAACAACGCCCCTCGAGCATCGAAAATTTCGAGCGAAGCTCGACCCACCACCCCCCTCCCTCTCCTCGAACATCACGTTGTTCCCATCGCACGTGAGGACCACATTCGAGACATCATTTCGAGCCCCCAGGATAGAATCGAAACAGTGTCTGCCCGAGACGCTGGCGAAGCGTCGAACGAGCATCGCCTCCCAGGGCCCGACGCGCGAAGGCCCTCCGGTTTCGAGCTTCCCTCGGTGCTCGAAGCCATGCCTGGCGATCGGGGCTGAAGCAGCCTGGAGCACCTTCACCCGAGCAGCAGAGGGGGCGCCCCCCAGGCCCTCCCCTCGCGGTCCTGGCGCTGGCGGCGCTGGCCGTCGTGGCGCTGGCCCTCGCGGCCCTGTCCCGCCGCGGGCGCCGCGCCGCGGCCGGCGGGGCGAGCGGGGCGCCGGACGTGCGGCCAGGGAGGGGCAGCGCGGGGGGAGGGGGGGCGGTCGGAGGCAGGCGGGGGGGGGCGGACGGCCCCCGATTCACCCCCCATCCCTCCCCTCCCCCCTCCCTCCCTCCCTCCCTCCGACCCTCCCTCCCTCCCATCCCCCCTCCCTCCCTCCCTCCCTCCTCCTCATCCTCCCTCCCTCCCTCCTCATCCTCCTTCCCTGCCAGCCATCCCTCCCTCCTTCCCTCCCTCCTTCCGTCCCTCCCTCATCCGCCCTCCCTCCCTCCCATTCCCCCTCCCTCCCTCCCTTCCCTCCTCATCCTCCCTCCCTCCCTCCCTCCTCGTCCTCCTTCCCCATCCATCCATCCCTCCTTCCCTCCCTTCCTCCTCCCTCCGTCCCTCCCTCCTCCTCCCTCCCTCCCCTCCCATCCCCATCCCCTCCCTCCCCTCCCTCCCTCCCTCCCATCCCTCCCTCCCTCCCTTCTTCCCTCCTCAGCCTCCCTGCCTCCCCCATCCCTTTCCCTTCAAGATAGCTCCGCCCTGTCGCAGCCCCAGACTTGTGGGTTGGGCGGGCTGGGCGTTGCGGCCGAAACGTCTTCGCTTTTGATGATATCGAGGCATGAAATCTGCATCTGCTTCATGGATTCAGAGGGGTTGGCTTTCACAATGTCGGTATCGCTTCAGCGTTGTGCACATGTGTCTTAAAAATCTGCAGATGCATCAAGGATGGAGCACAGGTCTCTTTCAAAAAAAGTGCGCTCGCCTTAGCGCTGCGCGCATCCAAAGTCTCCAACAGTTTCAAGAATGGAGGGGATTGTTTTCAAAGTGCTGCTCTCCCCTTCGCGCCGCGCAAACTCGCTTTACAAGGTTTCAAAAGCTTCGGTGATGGAAGGGGAAGTTTTCGAAATGGTACCTTCGCTTTAGCGCCATCAAATTTGTTTCAGGGCGGGTATTTTTCAAGGTGGTGTTCTCGCTTCAGTGCCTCGCACATTCCTTTCCAAATCTTACAACTTTTAAAGGATTATGGCACAGGTCGTGCTCGAATCGGGACTATCGTCTCAGCGCTGCGCACAGTCGCCTTCTCAACGCAATGTTTTACATGATGGAGGATTGCTCTTTTCCAGACTGGTTTTATCGCTTGGGGCTTCGCTCCTTTGAAAGACTAGAAAGTCAAGGCATGTAGAACTGCATGGGTGGCTCTTTTCCCAAATGGGGCTCTCGTTCGAGACTTCCTCGAAGATTACGACCGCGCGTGCAAACTCGTGCACCATTTGTGCGATTGGGCGGGGTGTTCCTTTTTTGAAAGGGGGACCCCGTTGAACGACTCGTCGAACTGTGTCATCATAATGTCTCGCGCTCCTCGTTGCGCGCCAGAAGCATGCAAGGCAGCTCCAGAGCGTGGCCCTAGTCAAGATGGCAGGCCCATCTGCCCTGGTCTTTCAGGGGGGGGGCACTTCTCGCAGTGAAACGAGTAGCTTGCAGTGACGCATGGGAAGCGGTTTTGGGGACGGGAGGGTGCATTGCCGCACCGCTGATCCATCTTGGGTTTATTCTGGTCCTCCCTCTTCCCCATCCCTCCCCTGAGGTCCGACGTTACGAAGAATTGCAGCGTCGCACCAAGTCACGACCAGAACCTCGCGCCCCATCCTCCTGCGCCACTCTTGGAGCCGGGTCGACCTATGCTGGCCCCTGAGCCCGAAGCTGAGCGAAAACGCCCGTTGTTTAAGAAATTGCAGCGCCAGGGTCTCGGGGTCTTCCCTCACTCCCTCCTCCACCCTCCTGGAGGCCTCAGACCCCTGGAGGCTCCTGGAGCTTCTATACATAGTAATAATCTCTGTTCGCAGTGAGTTGTCCACTCCACTGCTCGCGCAAACATCAATTCTATGTTTCTGTAATCATAATAAATAAATGCATATGTTTCGTATTGCTTTAACACAAATATGTTTTAAATATATCTATATATCTATTTTTTTGAGAAAAATATATATATATATATATATATATATAACAAAAAAAATCCTCCTCGCGACACGGCGGCGGCGATGGCGATGGCGATGGCCTGCGGCGGCCCTGCGCTCAACTCGCGGTGGCGCACCGGCGTATGCCGCGGGCGGAGCCGCCCGGAGTGCGCCCCCGGGGCCGGAGAGGCAGGCGGGGAGCTCCAGACCCAGACCCCGGGGGCGGCAATGAGGGGGGTGATGACTAGGGGGGGGTGGATATCATGGCGGGGGCCACGATATTTCCCCAGATTTCGTGGCGCCTCTTCTTATTTCTTTACGTCCCTGGCCCCCCCGCTGGGCCGCGCACATGCCGCCAGTCATGGTTTGCACCCCCCCTCTTGAAAACCCCCCTCTTGGCCGCTCCCGAAGACCCCCTCTCGAGCCGTGGAACAGTCCCGGCGGAAGGTTTGTCGCCAGTTCCGGCCTCCGGGGGCCCTTTGCCGGGCCTCGGGGCCGTCAAAAAGGGGCTCGGGGTGAAGAACCGGTCCCGGGGAAGGGGTCGAGACCTGGGGGTCGATGTTACGCAAGAGTCATGACGTCGAGGGTTTGGGGAGGCGGGGCTCACCTTCGAGGAGAACCGGAGAGGCGAGCTCTCTTCCTCGGCGACAGGCCAGCGGAGGAATCAGAGAGCGGCGGGCCCGCTTGCAGAAGCGGCTGGCGGAGCAAAGACACGCGTCCCCCAGGAAAGCGCATGAGCCTAGGCCTCCTAGGTGAGGTCCGAGTAGATTGGGGTCGAAGGATCGCGCCGCATCGCCGATGCATCGACGATGCAGCTCGACGTGGAGCCCGTGTTTCCCCACGCCGACGTCACCGATGCATCGCCGAGGTCGCCGATGCATCGCCGATGCATCGCCGATACATCGGCGATGCATGGGCGATGCGGCGCGATCATTCGACCCCATCTACTCTTACCCCATCTAGGAGGCCTCTACTGAGAGCCTGGCGTTGCAATGTTTCCCCAAACAGCTTCCTGAACGGGGTGCTGTTGTGATAGAAGCTAAGTCTGGCCGATGGAAAGGGGAGCAAAAGCATCCTCAAGAGGATCTGGAGGTCCCGGCCGTTTCGCCTGAGACATCATCAAAACTTTCGTTTCTGAGTTGTCCTGGATTGGCCGTTTCGCCTGAGGGATCCTCTAAAAGCTGGGCTCTGGGACGTCGCGCGCGAGGTGTTCTGGGCCGCTTCGCTTAACACATCCTCGAAACTCTAAGCCCCAAGATGCCGTGCGAGAGGTGGTCCAACGCGTTGCGCCTGAGACAGCCTCCGAATTCTGAGCTCCGAGACGCCGCGCGAGAGGTGGTCCCGCGCGTTTCGCTGAGACATTCTCACAACTCTTCGCTCAGAGCTGCAGCGCGCGAGGTGGTTCTGCACGTTTCGCCTGAGACATCCTCCCAATCTAAGCCAAGAGACGCCGCGCGCGAGGTGGTCCTGCGCATTTCGCTTTAGACCCCCTTGCAATTCTGAGCTCCGAGATGCCGCGCGAGAGGTGGCCAGGCGCGATTCGCTTGAGACATCCTCGCAACTCTGCACTCCGAACTGCCTCGCGCGAGGTGGTCCAGCGCGTTTCGCTTAAGACATCCTCGCAACTCTGAGCTCCGAGCTGCCGTGCGAGATGTAGTCTGGCGTCTTTCGCTTGAAATATGCTCGCACCCTCAGCTCCGAGATGCCGCGCGAGAGGTGGTCCAGCTCGTTTCGCCTGAGACATTCTTGCAAATCTGAGCTCCGAGAAAATGTGCACAAGGGTGTGTGGCCCGTGCTTGAGACATCCTCGCCATTCGGGGCTCCGAGATGCTGCGGGCGAGGTTGTGCCCGTTTCGCCTGAGACGTCCTCGGAACTCTGGGCTCCGAGAGGGAGGAGAAAGGAAGAAGGAGGAGGCAGACCCAAACGAATCATTTGATTACGCCTATGTTGTCGAATGTGCTCTGGGAGGGGTCTGGGCGACGCCTGAAACAGCCTCGCAACTCTGAGCTCCCAGATGTCGCACGCGAGGTGGTCCAGCCCGCTTCGCCTGAGACATCCTCGCAATTCGGGGCTCTGGGATGCTGCGCGCGAGGTGGGCTGGCGCGTCTCGCCTGAGACATCCTCGCAACTCCCGGCTCCTTGGAGATGTGCGCGAGGTGGTCCAGCCTGCTTCGCCTGAGACATCCTCGCAACTCTGGGCTCTCAGAAATGTGCGCGAGGTGGTCTGGCGCGTCTCGCTTGATACATCCTCGCAACCCTGGGCTCCGAGATGCCGCGCCAGAGGTGGTCTGGCCCGTTTCGCCAGAGACATCCTCGAAATTCTGGCGTCCGAGAGGGATGAGAGAGGAGCGAGGAGGGGGCAGACGCAGACGAAGCATGGAGTACAGTGCCGTTGTCGACTTGTGCTCTGGTAGGGGTCGAGGCGCCCCTGGCCCGCCGGAGGAGGTAGCTGGCGCCGAGGCGCGAGCACGATTCCTTGTGAAATTGCAAGGGCGGATCAGGGGGGGAGCTATGCTGGAGCAAATCGTGGAGATGCCTCGATCGAGAGCGCGGCGAGCAGGGAGGAGGCAGGATCGGAGAGGAGAAAGGGGAGGAGGAACGAGCTCCGAGCTGCTGCGCGAGAGGTGGTCCGGCTTTCTTCGCCCGAGACATCCTCGCAAGTCTGAGCTCTGAAGATCTGGCCCGTTTCGCCTGAGACATCCTCGCAATTCGGAGTTCCGAGATGCTGCGCGCGAGGCGGTCCAGCCCGTTTCGCTTGAGGCATGCTCGAAAGTCTGGGCTCCGAGAGGGAGGAGGAGGCAGACCCAAACGAATCATTTGATTACGCCTATGTTGTCGAATGTGCTCTGGGAGGGGTCTGGGCGACGCCTGAAACATCCTCGCAACTCTGAGCTCCCAGATGACGCACGCGAGGTGGTCCAGCCTGCTTCGCCTGAGACATCCTCGCAATTCGGGGCTCTGGGATGCTGCGCGCGAGGTGGGCTGGCGCGTCTCGCCTGAGACATCCTCGCAACTCCCGGCTCCTTGGAGATGTGCGCGAGGTGGTCCAGCTCGTTTCGCCTGAGGCATCTTCGC